TCGAAAGTCACTCAGGAAGTTTCCATGGATGTGAATCTAAGTTTTTCCTAGTTGTGTTAATCACTACCGCATGCTGGCTATCAGTTGGAAATAGAAAGTTGTTACAACACCATATTAGTAAAAAAATGTGCTCCACTGGTATCTGAATGGTCAACGAAAACAAAATAAAACATTTAATTAAAACAATTTACAGAGCATTCGATAATGGAAAATAAGTTTACTGGAAATTGAATGTTTGAACAGGGACGTGCAGTCAGGGGAGGCAGGGCCTCACCACTTTCATCATGAAAGAGAAAAAGAAATGTAAAAGGAAAAAGGCGGAGATAGTTGCTGCCAGAATCACAGTGGATGACTCTGCTTAGTGCTTAACTGCAGGAGGAGGCGGGAGAAACAAATGCCCCCTTTACTCTATCTTTATGATCACTTGAGCAGAGTTAAGCAAGGGTTAAAAGGCGAAAAAATTCCTTATGCAAAGGAGCCACGTGGTTCTCTCGCCTCCTCCTGCCCTGGCAGCAGCAGCTTTTGCCTTTTTCTTTTTACATTTTTTACATTTTCATCATGGCAGACAAGAGGAGAGTTGAAATCCTCTGTGACACACCTGGAAAATGTATGTGGGTCCTGGGTCGGAGGGAGGGGGGAGGGATTCAAAATTATTGTAATTTGTAAGTAAATTTTTATTGTGAGTAATTTGTGTGTGTGTGTGCTCATGTATTTGTTTCTTCACTTCACTCAAACAAACTCTCAATTTGAGAGAGAGTTTGTTTGAGAAGAGAGGGAAGGGAGAGAGGCAGGGAGGGCAGCCTTGTTTGAGAAGAGAGGGGCAGGACATAGATGCGAGACGCCTCTGTCGTGGACAGTGGCGGGGATGCTGCTTCTCCCACTGTCGCACTCTGCTGCCTTGCACCCCGCCTCCTCCATCCCCGCTGCTGTGTGCGACAGAGGCATCTCACGTCTATGGCGGACATAGACGCAAGATGCCTCTGTCGGGGACAGTGGGGCGATGCTGCTTCTCGCCACCGCCACGCTCTGCTGCCTTGCACCCCACCTCCTCCGTCCCCGCCGCTGTGTCCGACAGAGGTGTCTCATGTCTATGCCGGACATAAACGCGAGACGCCTGTTGGGGACAGCAGTGGGGACGCTGCTTCTTGCCACCGCCACGCTCTTGCCTCACCAACCGTAAACCTCACTGCATGTCACTGGTACTGCTAATGTGGAATGCCCCATATCAGAATGATGAGTTCATTAAATGGCTATGAGAAGGGTTTCTTCCAAGTAAGGAAAATTCATAATACAAAATCAAACAAAATTGTGTGGCTAAATTTGTCTTTCTAGTACATGAAGGCACATACGACATTTTTGCAAATACTGAAACTTGGTGGGAACTTCTCCAGACTCATCTTTTAAATAAGCATGCCCACTTTCTTCCTTATGCAGTAAGACTGCTTCTTACTGCGCATGCCCAAGATGGTGTCCTGTTGTGTTTGAGCAGAGCTTCGGGGAGATGATTGTCCTTCTCGGGGGCTTGCAGGGGTACCCTATTCCATCGTTGGTTCCAGGTCTAGC